TTGCAAACACAATTAGAAATGTGATAAACTAGGATGACATAAAACTAGCATTTGTTTGACACTCGGGAAACGACTAGGACACCCGAGCTACTTTGGTAGATGATCACGATTGGTTTGCTAGAATTATTCGGATATGTCAGCTAGTGTTAAGGTACTTCATTTGCCGACTAAGTATAGATGCCCCAAGATTCGACGGAGTAAGTTGGTCGGGTGTAAGCTTTCGATGTAGAAAATTTCATATCTCACCCCAATACTCAAGGGTATCCTTGGTAGACTAGGGTGTCATCCCGAGATGTAGAAAATTCCTCCGATCACACCACTAGACCTACCACATCACGTATTAAATGTCTCTGCATGCTCATACTCCTACTTGTCGGCATGTTCATAAAATGAATGCATGTAGAATAGTATAGTATGGTTATTAGTGTGGCACTAAGCTTGTGAACTCAGTGTTCAGAATTTGTTTCTGTGCGCAGGTCAGTAGAGGATCGACGAGGAGCTTGTCGCACATATACATTTCAGATCACCCGCTTTTCAGAGTATGTCTTGAGTCTTTTAGAGGGCATGTACTTTATGGTCCTTGTATTTAATTCAAATCATAGCTCTATTTTAAACTTATTGTATTTTTTTGGAGATTTATCGTTGGGTATTTCTATGTAATTTTGTAAACTGAATTATTATTATATTTTACCTTATAACTATCATGGATGATTTTATTACAATTAGCTACACGTGATTTTAATTTTTTTGGATCAATCGTTTCAGTAATCTGTATAATATCTTGGTCATTCTATTTTCGGATCGAATTAGGGTGTTACATCCACCGCATGGCTACCTTGCTTCCGTAAGTTGTCCCACAATCAATCCATCAATGGCATTGACATAAAATCTGAGAGCTTGTTCCTTTTAATGACTCAAGACCAAGTCGATCAGCCCTTTGGGCATTTTTGTAGAACATGATAATGTCTTCCTCCCTCAAATTACAAATATGACACCTATTATCGGTGGCCAATGATGACGAACACGTTCCTTATTAGTTAATAAGCTTTAATGCAAGACTAGCTAAAAGGAAAATGTTACAAGTGGAACAATTCAAGACAAAAAGAAAATAAAAATAAAATATTTTTATTAATAATCAAAAGAATGATATAGAAATAGATACACTTTTTTTTATACAAAATAACCGATTGAAACGAGTTGATACATACAACTACGTAGTTTTATTAAAATAAATTTTTGGCCACTCTCATGGAGCTTGAGAATTGAGATCGTTGATCGTTTGTTTCCCCGGATATAACAACTAAATAACCAGCTATAATTGCACTGCTGCAAAGATCACGAATTATTTATTGCATTCGTCTATCACCGGAAACAAACTAGAAGAGATGAAAGAAAAATTCTTTTTAAATTGTTTTCGAATTGTTTGAATTGTGTTTAACATAGTAGGTTTACATGACATTTATACAGATTTCATATTGTGAATAATTAGAAATTTTTTACCTAATGAAGTATTTAATGGAAAAAAAAACAATAACCATAACAAGCAAGTTTCAACATTACTTTCTGAACTAAACAAACCTTTTAATATTTATCTATTTAATTCAAAAACAAACTTTTAAAATATGCTTTATTTGATGGAAAATATTTACATTTGAGTTAAAATATTTGTAAGTCCATAGAGAATCCGATCAGTTTGGACATTTACATTACTTATATCATGCACGTCTACACATACATAAACTTGATTTCACATTCTCTTTAATAACTTTTGGATTAATTTCTCGTTCAAAGTTATAAAGTTATAAAAATCTTCCAACAGAAAACTCTATTGCGCTAAAGGATTTAAAGTTTCCAGATCCGTTTCCAACAGATATCTCGACCTCCAACTTCAAGTATATTTAGCTTTCTATAGACTGATTTGGAAGTGAACATGTCGATCATTCCAACACTAGCTCGGGGTGTCCATTCCAAAAGTTACATGTTGGGGGGCTGCATGCTGCAATGACTGCCAAATAAAAACCAATTAATTAACTATTATAAAATATAATTGAACTTTTAATTACTATATATATATTTAATATAAGATTTTAATCATACTAATTTTTACATTGAACCTGACGCGACACAATCAATGTCCAAGTTGTAGCCGCCGACAAAAGAAAAATAAAATTGGAGAGGAATATTGACATTAGCCTCGAGTGTCGGATATCTTATTATGGCCGTCACGTCGGCATCTCAAAATTCCTTTCCTCCTCCGATTGCTCAACATTTTGGGCCTTATAAGGGTTGGGCTATTTACCAACTTTAATCTATTCAAAGCTAAATTTAGCTCAATGGGTTTTAAACTTTAGGTCTATACGCCAAGTCCCAATCCAACAAGCTTTGTCTCTCATATTTAATGGACCAAACAAGGCATCATTGCCGTATGTCCTTGGATGACAGGACACAAACTCATTATCAGGAAAAAAAAATCACAAATAATATAAAAGTTAATTGCATCATATGTCCCTAAACTATAATTCTTACTTTAAATATTTCAATTGTATCCTTAAACTATGACTCTCATATTAGATTAGTCCTTACCTTTTGAACATTTTAATTTCATTCCTAAACTAGGATCCTCTTTCTAAATTGATCCCCAAACTTTTGAATCTTCCAATTTCATTCCGAAGTTCATCCAAATATGTAATTAGTTTCAACCATAGTTTAACCTAAATTATTTTTTCAAACATATAACAATATAACTTTGCCTAAAAATTTTATTAACAACCAGGGATGTGATTAATATATATGTATAGTTGGGATGAAATTGGAATGTTCAAAAAGTTTGGGGACTAATTTAGAATGAATGTTATAGTTTAGGAATGAAACTAATATGTTCAAAAGTTAAGGACTAATTTAAAATGATAATCATAGTTTAAGGATAAAACTGAAATATTAAAAGTTTAAAGATTAATTTAAAATGAAGATTATAGCTTTAGGGATATATGATGCAATTAACTCATAATGTAGATATAAAAAGTTGTATATATCTTATAAATTCGCTAACAAAATCTACAGTAATAATGTTTTTCCTTCAAAACTTTAAAATTCAAGTCATAACTCATGATATCATTTGTTAGAAAATTAAAAGTGAATTCATAAACAATACATTATCAACATGAAATACAACAACAACAAAAATAAGATTTAATATGACTCGATTTTACTTATTTATTAGATGAGAAAAAGCATTCTACTATAAACATAAAAATAATAAATAGTTTGACTACATAAAATTCTCTATATCTCATAAACCAATATATATCAGTGCCTCAGCGTATTCAAAAATCCTTTCAATATGTTAGTAACTTAACTATTTCAACATCATACAAAATTTATATCTCTTTAAAATAATTGTCTATCATGATTCAAAAATTAAAATCTATCTTATATTTATAGAAAAAAATAAATTTATTAATTAAGAATCTTACTCCACATTAATTCTTATCTAAATAAATTTAATCACTGTACAACTTTTTACTAACATTATAATAAATTTTAACTTAATTATTAATAATAATTCGAGTCCGAATGTAACACGAAAAATTAATAAAGCCTAATTTAATTATAATTAAAATTTAAGTTAATATGGGACGATTCAACTCCATTTTTTGAAGCATGTTTTTTTTAAAAAAAATACTTATAAAATATATTAATATCATTAATATATAACAAATTTTTTTGGAAGCTAAGATGATTACAAAATAATATCTGTTCTAAATACTCTAAATCATTTTTGACAATTAATGCTCAATCACCCTACTGCAGCTGTTGGTGTTAGAAAATGTGAACTCTAAGAACAATAACAATTTTTTAACCAATGAAATAAACTGATTCGTGTAATATACAACAATTTTTTCGCAAAAGAAAATGACTTACAAAACATATTAATATAATGACCTACAAAACATGCACTATAATCTAAGAGAAAAACTATTCATTAGATCTTTTAAATAATACACAATAAGTTATTAATATACTATTTTTTATAAAAGTTTTTGTAAGAAAATTATTAAAAATAAAAATAAACTCTAAGAGTCCTGGGTATTAATAAATTTTTAAAAATTGTTTTCAGGTTAATATTTTTCTCCAAGTTTTAGTCAACAATTAACTCTAAACTAATAAAATCCAGGCATAGCCCTATATATCTGACAGCAGCTTCCGGCAGTCAATGACAGCCCTCAAATTTATTTCCAGAAATACCCTTTTCGATTTATCCTCAGAGGAACCAACAAGGGACGAGATTTCCCCAAAGGTCAAAGTCACATTCCTTTGACTACAAGGTTAAACTAGTCAATTACACTCCCCCACTACGTCACTACCCTTCTTCCCCAGTAAATAGCTCCCTTTTTCTTTGCACAAGTTTTCATCTTTTCTTCTTTGGAGGAACCAAAAAAACATATAAATTACACGCCCTAGGGTCTTCGCCTTCCCTTCTCCCTGTCTTCAGCACTCTAACAACGAAAAACCCTAAAACCCCACTTTTTTACATTGTTTTATAATGCAAAAGAGCTCATTTTTATTTGATTTCTTCACATTTAAGGTAACCTCTCAATAACCCAAATCTCAAAATCCCATCTCTTTTCAATCTCTTCAAGAACCCAGAGTTTGAATCGAATAAAGTTTGTAACTTTTTGCGCTTGGAATCATCGACTATTCAAGGACAGGACCGTTAAAAAGGGAAAAAATTCAATATGGATGATGTAGAAAAGGCAATATTGATTAGCTTTGATGAATCAAGTGCCATAGATTCAGAGTTAAAGTCACAAGCAGTGAACTATTGTCAGAAACTTAAAGAAAACCCATCAATTTGTAGCCTTTGTATTGAGAAGTTGTGTTTTTGCAAACTCGTTCAGGTTCACTTTTGGTGTTTACAAGCTTAACAAGAGGTTATTAGGGTGAAATATGGGTTCATGAGCTTGGAAGAGAAGAATTTCTTCAGAAAGTCTACTTTTTCGATGGCGTGTTTAGAATGCATCGATGATAAGATGTGTGCTGTTTTGGATGGTCCTCCATTTATAAAGAATAAGCTTTCTCAGGTTTTGGTTACTTTGATTTACTTTGAGTACCCTTTGATTTGGTCATCGGTTTTCGTTGATTTCTTGCCACATTTGAGTAAAGGGGCAGTGGTGATAGATATGTTTTCTCGAATTTTGAATGCATTAGTTGATGAATTGGTTAGTGTGGATTATCCACGGACACCTGAGGAAGTGGCGGTTGCGGCAAGGGTTAAGGATGCAATGAGGAATCAGTGTGTGCCTCAGATTGTTAGAGCATGGTATGTCATTGTGTCTATGCATAGGAATTCGGATCCCGAAATATGTGCTACTGTTTTGGATTGTATGAGGAGGTATGTTTCCTGGATTGACATTGGGTTGATTGTGAATGATGCATTTATTCCACTTTTGTTTGAGTTGATTTTGGTCGATGGTTTGTCGGAACAACTTCGTGCTGCTGCCGCTGGATGTGTTTTGTCAGTGGTTTCTAAGCGAATGGATGCGCAGTAAAAACTATCACTATTGAAGAGTCTTCAAATAAGTTGAGTTTTTGGTTTGGCATCTGACGATAATGATTCTGAGTTGGTTTCAGGAATAGCAGCCTTGATTACAGGGTATGCTGTTGAGGTTTTAGAGTGTTCCAAAAGGGTGAACTCAGAAGATGGTAAGCTGGTTTCCGCAGAGCTTTTAGATGAAGTTTTGCCAACAGTTTTCTATGCAATGCAGACTTGCGAGATGGATGCAGCATTTAGTATTGTCCAATTTCTTTCGGGTTATGTTGCTACCATGAAAACCGTTTCTCCTTTGCAAGAGAATAAAATGCTTCACATAAGTCAGATACTGGAAGTGATTCGTACTTAGATTCATTATGATCCCATGTACCGCAATAATCTTGATATATTGGATAAGATTGGGGAGGAAGACGAAAACAGGATGTCGGAATTTAGAAAGGATCTATTTGTGTTGGTACGGAATGTGGTTCGAGTAGCACCTGATGTCACTTGGATCTTTTGTCGCACCCCAATTTAGGGGCTAAAATTTTAAAATTATAAAGTAGTGGATTTAATTGGTATTTTGAGTAGATAATTGAAGATTAAATTATAAAATTTCAAAGTTGGTAGACCGTTTTATAAAATACAGAAAATTCAGTGACTAAATCTTAAATTTAACCATTTTTCGTATATGTTGAAAATATATATCATTTCCCGACTTCTGCAAATTTTTCTCATTTTCCTCTTCCCTTCAACCCCATTTAAACTTCGATCTACTCACCGTCCGGCCTCCGTTCGACGAACTAAAACCACCATCGTATTCATTGTCAACCAATAAATAAAAACCCTTAAACCTTTCGTCGTTAATCGTCGTCGTTCGTCGTTAATTTCAGTCGTAAGTATCGTCAATTTTAACTCAATTTTCGTTGATTTTCCGTCGTTTCACGCCGATCCGACCATCTGTTTTCGACACCTCCCACACCATCATGTTCCTTGCATCGTTCTGAGTCCATCGGTATTTTCTGTTTCTCCATCGTCGCCGGAGGGGTGAGAAAGTCAAAGTTTTCGATGTTTCAGAATCGAACTCTCCGCCGTTCAAAATTGTTAAGTGTCTCAAAATGCCATAAAATAATTTTTTAATTTTTTTTTCGATATTTATAGGAGCTCCGAGGACGCCCCACGCGTCTCCCCCTACATGTGGGGATTGTTCTGAACCGGTTGACGAAAAAAAAAGAATTTGGGTGTTAGTTTTGTAAATATTTCTAAAATGGTGCCTAATATGACCGACGTTGACCGGTCGTTAACTTTCATTAGGTATGCCTATCTTAACATTTTTTGACATTTTGAATCCGTTTTTGGGGTCAATTTTCCAAATTTGAACCCGGTAAGCTATTTTTTACTAATTTATCACCCGCTTCGATTTGTATTTCGAAATTAAGCTCCGTTTTTTATATAATTTATGTTAATATGTGTCTGAGGAATTATTGGGAGATGAATTAAAGATCGAGGATATTCGAATGAAAATTTAATGGTCGATCAGTATTGCACGGAAATCGAGATAATACTTTACTACCTCTTTATGCTTATTGGAATATATTGATATTGGTAAATGCATGAATAAGATAATATTGGTCTCATATGTGTTGTTAATTAATTTCTACACTCGATCCGAATACGATAAAAATTTGGTAACTGATTATGGTTTAAATGACTTTTATAGGAAATTGAGGGATTGTTATAATTAAAATTATAAGTTATGTGTTTAGTGATAAAAGAATCAGTTTAGATCTGTAACTTATAAGTTATTTCATCAAAGGTACTTGGATGAGAAATTATGAGAATATTCCGGTAAGGTAAAATTACGAAAATACTCTTATGTTGTATGATGACAAGAATTGTCACTGAAAGTTGGTTAATAACTCTGAAAAGACATATTGATCTGATAAAATTACAGATGTGCATAAGAAATGCTAGTTTTGCTTAGAAAATTTGAATAATTGGTTTTTAACCCCATAAGGGTTTATGCAAGATGCTAGAAGTCTGTTAAGGGAATCATTTCAATATCAGAGAATGTTCGGAAAAGCAATTAACCATAGGATCTCTAAATTATAATTATTTTTCGTTAAGAGTTAATACCGAAGTTATCTGATTAAGAAATTACGAAAATACCCTTGAGAAATAAAAATAGTCCGAGTTGACCTTGAATGAGAAAGTACTTTGAGGATTTGTACTTAACTCGATAAATTACAGATTTAATTGTTAAGATCCTGTATTTGTACAAAAAATTTATGATAACCTGTTGGTAACTTCTGAGAAGACAACTGACCTGAAAAATCTCCGAGTTAAGAATAAATTATCGAAGGTGCTCTTTAGTCAGAATTATTCGAAAGGTCTGGAAAAGATGATACGTTTGAATTAAATAATATCATATGGAAGGAAATGATTGAAATACACCAGATCTATAAAATGACCAAAATACCCCTGTAGTGAAAATGACCCAAGAATATCACCAAGCTCAGGAATGCTTGGATATCCTCGAGCTCTATAATGAATGGAATAAAATTAAACACCAAAATAACCAAAATACCCTTATAGCCTATAATAGGTAAATGTCTTGGATTAATTAAGGAATCCAAATAAGCATATGTGTTGGACTACATTTAAAAGTATAGAGCACAGCTTAAGTGAGTTGATCAATCTTAATGATATGTCAGTATCTGAACGTAATAGATATTACTTGAATACGTGTTCGTCTTCTCAAGTGCGACTCAATGATAATTTTGGAAGTATTCAGCTCAGATCAACTCTAAATCGCATTCAGTACTAAGAATTTGATATTTGTTCGAAAAATCAACCACGAAGATCGAACTGAACTAAACAAAAGTACAATATGTATCTGAAATTAAGAAGACGTTCGATTTACTCTGGAAAACTCTGAAGTAACCGAGATAGGCTTGACTATTAAATGAAATAAGTAACATCAATGACTGAGGATTAAATAAGTGATTTGGATGAGTCTTGAAATTTTAATAAACATACATGATGTAATGTTCTTATGGGTCATGAACTACAAATCAAGCACGTCAAGATTTAATGATATCGTGGAAGCGTGGGAATGAAATAAAGAGCATTGGAATATCTGTTAGTTTCCTTAAGATCTATTCACTGATGATTCTAAAGATGATCTATGGACCAAAATTTTTGGTATTAAAGAGTAGATACCCTGGAAGGATAATGAATTGACCAGGCGACAATCATTAGTTTTAGGAGCTGTTCATCTCGAGTTGTTCGATAATCCGATCAATCAACATAGATTGTAAAGGTTCTGAATCTTCGTTCTTCCTTATCAACTCAAACCACTTTGGGTATATCTGAAGATACAAGTAACTCATAAGTAAAGGATTTTGAATACCCTTCTGATTACGTAGAGATTCCGAAAAATGTTCGAATAAGATATTATCCTGATATAAAACATTCTGAATAACTGATGATTTTGTCAGTTAAAAATCTTTTTCAATAATGATTCTAACTTCTGATATTCTATCGATAAACTTAAGATCCATGTTTCTCTGCCCGATAATATTATCCAATAACTCTGAATAATATCTGTAAACACTAGTGTGTTCTCTAATTACATGAATGTTTTATCTGATTTTCGATTTGAAATCTGTTATGATTTCTGTTATGATTTCTGATCTGGATTCTGTTATGATATCTGTGATGAATTCTGTTTTGATTTCTGATATCTCTGTTTACTAACGGAAAAATGTTTTAATTGGGGGTATTATTGAAGGAAGTATTTCTGCAGGTTCCTTTGCTTTGTGCTCAGGGCCTTACAGGTTGTGTGGGTTGGGTGTATGGTTCTGGGAAACCTACACAAACAGATTGTGAAAGGATGGGGGTAAAAATATGTTTTAAAAAGATTTGTTTCTTTTTACTGGTTTTATGAAAACACACTAGATAACCTATTCTGATCTCTTGAACCTAGACATCCGAAATATTTCCATTTGAACTGAAAGCTCACTATATGTTACTACCTGAAATATCAGTAGGATCTCTGCTCAATATAAGGATTTGTAGATGTCTGATCCGATAAGGAAATATATGTTTATCTGTATTTGCATGTTCTTCAGCATCATCTGGTAGTACTGTATTACTGAGCTTTCCGAAGCTCAATTTATTACTCACCATTGCAGGTTAAAAGAATTGTACCAGTGCAACTATCAACTTCAGTAAGGGAGTTCTTCCGGTATTGTTTCCAGAGTATGGTACATATGATTAGGGGGCATGTAATTGTATTTTGTTTTATATATACGAGTCTGAAAATCTGTTTTATTTCTTAATACTGATAAATGATTTTATGAGTTTACATGTTATGATAAAAAGTTTTAAATTTTCCACTATTTTTACAGTGGGTCGCTCCGGTGGTCCTAATGTGACAACCCAGATCAGATCAGGTTACCCGCATCGGTCTGAGGGGGTTACATCTTTATCAGAAATTCATTAGCTAATGCTATTATATCTGTAAACACTAGTGTGTTCCCTAATTACATGAATGTTTTATTTGATTTCTGATTTGAATTATGTTCTGATTTCTGATCTGGATTCTGTTCTGATATATGTGCTGAATTCTGTTTTGATTTATGATATATATGTTTACTGAAGAAAAAATGTTTTAATTGGGGGGTATTGTTGAAGGATGTATTTCTGTAGGTTTCTCGGCTTTGTGCTCAGGGCCTTACAGGTTGCGTGGGTTGGGTGTATGGTTCTGGGGAACCTACACAAACAGATTGTGAAAGGATGGGGGTAAAAATATGTTTTAAAAAGATTTGTTTCTTTTTATTGGTTTTATGAGAACACACTAGATAACCTATTCTGATCTCCTGAACCTAGACATTCGAATTATTTCCATCTGAGTTGAAAGCTCACTATTTGTTACTACCTGAAATATCAGTAAGATCTCTGCTCAACATAAGGATTTGTAGATGTCTGATCCGATAAGGAAATATATGCTTATTTATATCTGCACGTTCTTCAGCATCATCTGGTAGTTCTGTATTACTGAGCTTTCCGAAGCTCACTTTATTACTCACCATTGCAGGTTAAAAGAATTGTACCAGTGTAGCTATCAACTTCAGTACGGGAGTTCTTCCGGTGTTGTTTGCAGAGTATGGTAGATGTGATTAGGGGAATATAATTGTATTTTGTTTTATATATACGATTCTAAAATATACTTTATTTCTGAATACTAATAAATGATTTTATGAGTTTACATGTTATGATAAAAAATTTAAATTTTCTGTTATTTTTATAATGGGTCGCTCCGGTGGCCCTAATGTGACAACCCAGATCGGATCGGGTTACTCGCATCGGTTTGAGGGGGTTACATTTAGTAGTATCAGAGCTATGGTTGAGTCAAAGTTTTCAAGATAGAACGGCCGGTTGAATTTAAAAAAAAAAAGATGTATGATCAGTACATGCCCCTAGACTATAATCGTACTTTTCTGAGCTGGAACTCCAAGGTTGAGTCCCTATCTGTAATGAGCAAACATAGGTTTCCATCCGTTAGGACTATTGTTTTTATAAAGAAATACTAGTAATGTCTGTCTAAATTGTGTAAAGTACCACACGAGCCATGTGAGAGTTACTCATCTGAGAAATTTTGACCCAACTCCGGAAATGAAATTGGGATATGCTACTGCTTTATGTGCCTATTCTCGTAACCAAGACTGAATTGATTCCTCAAGGCAATTTTCGTTTAGATTCTTTTATTGAAATGAGGAGAAGTTTTGATAAGAATGTATACTCAACTGGTTAAGGATTAGTAGAGTATCAATATTTTTGTAAAAGCTACTGAAATATATGAAAGAACTGATGGAAGTTTCATTTCTGCAATTATAGGACACAAATGAATTTCGAGGACGAAATTCTTTTAAGGATGGGAGAATTGTCACACCCCAATTTAGGGGCTAAAATTTTAGAATTATAAAGTGGTGGATTTAATTGGTATTTTGGGAAGAAAATTGAGGATTAAATTATAAAATTTCAAAGTTGGCAGACCGTTTTATAAAGTGAAGGAAATTCAGTGACCTAGTCCTAAATTTAACCATTTTTCATATATGTTGAAAATATATATCATTTCCCCAATCAGGTTCTCTAGATTTTTCCCATTTTCCTCTTCCCCTCAACCCCTTTGAACTCCGATCTACTCACCGTCCGACCTCCGTTCGACAAACCGAAACCACCATCGTATTCATTGTCGACCAATGAAAAAAACCCTCAAACCTTTCATCGTGAATCGTCGTCATTCATCGTTAATTTCAGTCAGAAGTATCGTCGGTTTTAACTCAATTTTCGTTGATTTTCCGTCGATTCACGTTGATCCGACCATCCGTTTTCGACACCTCCCGCACCATCGTGTTCCTTGCATAGTTCTGAGTCCACTGGTGTTCTCCGTTTCTCCGTTGTCGTCGGCGTGTGGAGGGGTAAGAAAATCAAAGTTTTTGATGTTTTCGAATCGAGCTCTCCGCTATTCAAAATTGTAAACCGAGCTTGGTAAGTGTCTCAAAATGCCATAAAATAATTTTTAGAAATTTTTTCGGTATTTATAAGGTCTTCGAGGACGCGCACCACTCGCCGCCCCTTAATTATGGGGATTGTTCTGCACCGGTTAACAGAAAAAACAATTCGGGTGCTAGTTTTGTAAATATTTTTAAAATGGTGCATAATATGTAATTATTTTTTGTTAGGGTGATATTTGTGTAAAATCGTTGACCGTTGACCGTCGTTGACCAGAAATTTGACTAGCGTTGACCGGCCTTGACTTTTTTCAGGTATACCTATCTTGATGTTTTTGACGGCCTGAATTCGATTTTGGGGTCCGTTTCGCCAAATTCAAACATGGTAATCTATTTTTCACTGATTTATCACTCGAATCGATCCGTATTTCAAAATTAAGCTCAGTTTTTATGTAATTTCTGTTAATATGTATCTAAGGAATTATTGGGAGTTGAATTAAAGATCGAGGACATTAGCATAGAAATTTAATGATCGATCAATAATGCACAAAAATCGAGGTAATATTTTACTACCTCTTTATGCTTATTGGAATATGTTGATATTGGTAAATGCATGAATAAGATAATATTGGTCTTATATGTGTAGTTATTTAATTTCTACACTCTATCCGAATATGATAATAATTCGGTAACTAATTATGGTTTAAATGACTTTTATAAGAAATTGAGGGATTGTTATAATTAAAATTACAAGTTTTGTGTTTAGTGATAAAGGAATCAATTTAGATCTGTAACTTATAAGTTATTTCATCAAAGGTACTTGGATGAGAAATTATGATAATACTCCGGTAGGGTAAAATTACAAAAATACCCTTATGTTGTAAGATGACAAGAATTGTCCCTGAAAGTTGGTTAATAACTCTGAAAAGACATATTGATCCGGTAAAATTACAGATGTGCATAAGAAATGTTAGTTTTACTTAGAAAATTTCGATAATTGGTTTCGACCCATGAGGGTTTATGAAAGATGCTAGAAGTCTGTTAAGGAATCATTTCAAGATCAGAGAATGTTCAGAAAAGCAATTAACCATATGATCTCTAAATTATAATTATTTTTCGTTAAGAGTTAATACTGAAGTTATCTAGTTAAGAAATTACGAAAATTCACTTGAGAAGTAAAAATAGTCCGAGTTGACCCTGAATGAGAAAGTAATTTGAGGATTCGTACTTAACTCGATAAATTACAGATTTGATTGTTAAGATCCTATCTTTGTACAAAAAATTTTTGATAACCTGTTGGTAACTTCTTAGAGACAGTTGACCTGAAAATCTCCGAGTTAAGAATAAATTATCGAGGGTGATCTTTAGTCAGAATTGTTCGAAAGGTCTGGAAAAGATGATACATTTGAATTAAATAATAAGATCATATGGAAGGAAATGATTAAAATACACCAGATCTGTAAAATGACCAAAATACCCCTGTAGTAGAAATAACCCAAGAATATCACCAAGCTCAGGAATAATTGGATATCCTCGAGCTCTATAATAAATGGAATAAAATTAAACACAAAAATGACCAAAATACCCTTATGGCCTATAATAGGTAAATGTCTTAGATTAATTAAGGAATCCAAATAAGCATAGGTGTTGGACTATATTTAAAAGTTATGGAGCACAGTTTAAGTGAGTTGATCAATCTTAATGATATGTCAGTACTTGAACGACATAGATATTACTTGAATGCGTGTTTGTCTTCTCAAGTGTGGCTCAATGATAATTTTGGAAGTATTCAGCTCAGCTCAACTCTAAATCGTATTCAATACTAAGAATTGGATATTTGTTCGACAAATCAACCACGAAGACCGAATTGAACTGAACGAAAGTACAATATGTATCCAAAGTTCACAAAACATCCGATTTTCTCTAGAAAACTCTAAAGTAACTGAGATAGGCTTGACTGTTAAATGAAATAAGTAACCTCAATGACTGAGGATTAAATAAGTGATTTGGATGAGTCTGGAAATATTAATGAACATACATGATGTAATGTTCTTATGGATCATGAACTACAAATCAAGCACGTTATGATTTCATGATATCGTGGAAGCGTGGGAATGAAATAAAGAGCATTGGAATATCTGTTAGTTTCCTTAAGATCTATTCGGTGATAATTCTAAAGATGATCTATGGACTAGAATTTTTGGTATTAAAGAGTAGATACCCTGGAAGGACAATGAATTGACCAGGAGACAATCATTAGTTTTAGGAACTATTCATCTCAAGTTGTTCGATAATCCGATCAATCAGCATAGATTGTAAAGGTTCTGAATCTTCGTTTTTCCTTATCAACTCAAACCACTTTGGGTATATCTGAAGATACAAGTAAATCATAAGTAAAGTATTCTGAATACCCTTTTGATTACGTGGAGCTTCCGAAAAATGTCCAAATAAGATATGATCCTGATATAAAAAATTTTGAATAACTGATGATTCCGTCAGTTAAAAAACTTTTTCAATAGTGATTCTATCTTCTGACATTCTATCGGTAATCTGAAGATCTGTGTTTCTCTGCCCGATAATATTATCCTATATCTCTGAATAATATCTGTAAACACTAGTGTATTCCCTAATTACATGAATATTTTATCTGATTTCCGATTTGAATTATGTTCTGATTTCTGATCTGGATTCTATTATGATATCTGTGTTGAATTCTGTTTTGATTTCTGATATCTCCGTTTACTGACGGAAAAATATTTTAATTGGGGGGTATTGTTGAAGGAAGTATTTCTACAGGTTCCTCAGCTTTGTGCTCAGGGCCTTACAGGTTGTGTGGGTTGGGTGTATGGTACTGGGGAACCTACACAAACAGATTGTGAAAGGATGGGGGTAAAAATATGTTTTAAAAATATTTGTTTCTTTTTACTGGTTTTATGGGAACACACTAGATAACCTATTCTGATCTCCTGAACCTAGACATCCGAAATATTTCCATCTGAACTAAAAGCTCACTATCTGTTACTACCTGAAATATCAGTAGGATCTCTGCTCAACATAAGGATTTGTAGATGTCTGATCCGATAAGGAAATATTTGCTTATCTGTATCTGCATGTTCTTCAGTATCATCTGGTAGTTCTGTATTACTGAGCTTTCCGAAGCTCAATTTATTACTCACCATTGCAGGTTAAAATAGTTGTACCAGTGCAGCTATCAACTTTAGTAAGGGAGTTCTTCCGGTGTTGTTTGCAGAGTATGGTACATTTGATTAGGGGGCATGTAATTGTATTTTGTTTTATATATACGAGTTTGAAAATCTTTTTTATTTCTGAATACTGATAAATGATTTTATGAGTTTACATGTTATGATAAAAAGTTTTAAATTTTCTACTATTTTTATAGTGGGTCGCTCCGGTGGCCCTAATGTGACATCCCAGATCGGATCGGATTACCCTCATCGGTCTGAGGGGTTACATCTTTATCAGAAATTCATTAGCTAATGCTATTATATCTTCATCAAACAAGAATGTTGAAGAGGTAGAAGTTGCCCTTTCCCTTTTGTATGCCCTTGGAGAGTCTATGAGTGACGAGGCAATGAGGGTAGGTAATGGACTATTAAGTGAACTGGTCACAAATCTGTTATCAACAAGATTTCCTTGTCATTCAAATAGGGTAGTTGCCCTAGTGTACTTGGAGACAATAGCAAGGTATATGAAGTTCATCCAGGAGAATGTACTATATCTTCCTTTACTTTTGGCTGCCTTTCTTGATGAAAGAGGTATACACCATCCAAACATCTATGTGAGTCACAGGACCAGTTATCTGTTCATGAGGGTTGTTAAACTGCTGAAATCGAAGCTTGTACCTTTCATAGAGACAATTTTGCAGGTATAATTACTTTCCAAACATGTTTTTGAATGTTTATTATGGCTAAATTCTGAAAACTACCTACTGGAATCTTTTATTGACGGACAGAACTTGCAAGATGTCGTCGCTCGATTTACAAGTATGAGTTTTGCGTCTAAGGAACCTACAGGATCTGAAGATGGTGCTCATATTTTTAAGGTATTTATCTCATTTTTATGTTTCTATCAGTGTCGTAACCGGTTTTCATCCGGGCACGAATTTTTTTTATTTGGCGGGAAAAGTGATGTGAATAAATGTTTTTAAAATGATTTCGGAGTTGCCATCGACTTTTTGGGTCAGGTAGGTCGAATACCTAAAAATTATCTTTTAAAAGAGATTTTAAGAAAACATCGATTAAAAGATAAACTGATTTGCGTTTTAACCAAAAATTCGTTCTTTTTAATAATAAAAAGGGATTCGTGGTCGGTTACGTTTAGGGAAAGATTAGCACCCCTACAACGCCCAAAATTGGTACTTTTTAATTATAAATTGTCTCTATTATTAGAAATTTAAAAATTCAAAATATATTTAATTTATAATCCTATTATTTCAAAATTATAATTATGAAAAAAATATTAATTTATATATTTATAAATAAAATATTTATTTATTTAGAAATATCAGAAAAGAACTTCTAGGTGCCTTAAGACAACCATTTTCTTCGATATTAAAAAATAAATAAATAATTAAAACAATTAATATATGATTTAAAAAATAGGATATTTATTTATTTAAAAATATCAGAAAATGGACATCTAGTTGTTTTAAGACTGCCATTTCTTAATATTGAAAAATAAATAAATATATATTAAAATATGATTATTAAAAGTAATTTATGAAATATAAGATTTTAACGAATAAACAAATATTATTTATATATATATATATATATAATAATAAGAATAATAATAAAAAGTAATAATAATAAAATAATATTGCAAATAATAATTAAAAATATAGTATTAAAATATAAAATATTAAAAACAATAATCAAAAATGAAATTTTAATGATTAAAATGTAAAATTATAAAACTAGAGTACTAATTCGAAATATATAAAAGATGGGCATTAAAAGTGTAATTTAACCATAGTTCATAGTACGGGATTAAAATAATAATTACTAAACTATGAGGGACTAAATTTGATATTTACCTTAAATATATTATTTAATACTGGTAAGGACTAAAACATAATAAAATGAAATTCGAAGACTGAATTAGAACTTTCAGAAGTTAGTTCTAGTGACTAAAATGGAATGTTACAAAACTACAATGGCTGCATGTATGGTTTAACCATATGAGAATTTACACAAATACCCCTCCCTGAAACGATGCCGTTCGGGGAGGGTATTTAAAACCCTTTTAAACCGGCCCTAAGGGCCATTATTTCATTTCTCTGGTTTTGCTTCTCTCTCTTTAGAGAGAGAAGCTCTCGTTTTCTCTCGTCGGAAGAGAAAACCGGCATCCGTTTCCGACGCCGATCGCCATCGCCGGCCACCGCTCACGGTGACCGGAACTCCTAAATTACCCTAGTGCATAGATCTCGACCTTCTAAGGCCGAATATGACCTCCGTTTGTCCTAAAACGCTTTAGATCGTTCTAGATCTAAAAAATAAATCGAAGGTTTTTACCTTCGACTTTCGGTTTTCCGACCTCGTAAGGAGAATCTGATGACTGCAGTTTCCTTGGTAAGCTTCTTTCCTCTCTTTTCTTTCAATATTTGGCTGCTGTGGGGGGTTGTTGTGGTTCTGTCTTCCGTTCTTCTCTTCGTTTTTTTTTCTCCTCCCCTTCCTTACAGGAAATGGTGGCCATTTATAAGCCTCGTCGAGAGGCTCCTCAGACCGGTCCAAAGGATGAAAGGCTCGGTGAGTCACCAAAGCTATGCTGGTGACTCACTATAGAGGCGACGTGGATGGTCGGTGTCATGGCAGTAAGGCTTCTGGAATGTTCGTCAGAGGCGTCGTGGTAGTACTGAAGCGTCGGCAACGGACGTGTGGCCTTCTGGAATTAATGGCGGCGGCTGAGGACTTCTGGAGGCGACGACAGCAACAACAGTGCTAGGGTTTAGAAACCCTAGCTAAAACCCTAAATTGGTTTAGGGTTTCCTTTTGGGTCTGGGTCGGTTCTGGTTGGGGCTTTGATTTGGGCTTGTAATTAATAATAAATAATAATATTATTAATAATAATAAAAATAAATAATAAAAATAATAAATATAATAATAAATATAAAAAATCAAATGTAAAAAGCTAGTGTCTTCAGCTGCCCCTCTTTGCTCATTCTTGTATTAACAAGAATAGGGCAAAGACGAAAAGACAATAAGTTTTTTTCATTTGACTTCATTTGATTATGATGGTAATGTTGAACAAAATCTTCTTTGGGATTAGTTCTTCTCATTATGAACTTTTCCACTGGGGATGATAATTTGTCTCCTTTTGTGATGTAATCTGGAAATGTTGATGCTGACCTATCTCTTTCTGTGATAGAATCATGCAAAAGATTGAACAAGTTTTTCTCATTATGAACTTCTTCTTCCTTCTTCAGATGAGTTCTTCTCATTATGAACTCTCTCTGGAAAAGTTGATCCATCGAGTGATGAATTCGAGCAAAAAGTTGAACAAGTTCTTCTCATTATGAACTTCTTCTTCTTTCTTCAGATGAGTTCTTCTCATTATGAACTTGCCCTGGCAATGCTATCCATCGAATGATAAATTCAAGCGAAAAGTTGAACAAGTTCTTCTAATTATGAACTTCTTTTTCCTTCTTCAGATGAGTTCTTCTCATTATGAACTCGACCTGGTAATGCTGATCCATCGAATGATGAATTCAAGCGAAAAGTTGAACAAGTTCTTCTCATTATGAACTTCTTCTTCCTTCTTCAGATGAGTTCTTCTTATTATGAGCTCGACCTGGTAATGCTGATCCATCGAATGATGAATTCAAGCGAAAAGTTGAACAAGTTCTTTTCATTATGAACTTCTTCTTCTTTCTTCAGATGACTTCTTCTCATTATGAACTCGACCTGGTAATGCTGATCCATCGAATGATGAATTCAAGCGAAAAGTTGAACAAGTTCTTCTCATTATGAACTTCTTCTTCTTTCTTCAGATGAGTTCTTCTTATTATGAACTCGACCTGGTAATGCTGATCCATCGAATGATGAATTCAAGCGAAAAGTTGAACAAGTTCTTCTCATTATGAACTTCTTCTTGCTTCTTCAGATGAGTTCTTCTCATTATGAACTCTTCCAGAAATGTTGATCCATTGAATGATGGATTTGAACTTTGCTAAAATCTTTGAAATTCCTGTCAAATATTCAACATGGATAAAATGAATGAAAATGCTCCTATTTTGCAAATGTCTAAATATGATGCATGAATGTTGATGCAATCTTCATTTGACTTCAAAATGGTGAACTCGATTTTCCTCAACTTCATCATTTATTGCCAGGGTCACCTCTGGATATCAGTGTAGCAACTTATGCTATCAAGCTTGCAATTCTGAAGAACCATCTGATCAACTTGTATCTTTATGTCTTCTTTGCTTTATAAAAGTCTCAGAAGAATTGTTTCATTTGTGTCACTCTTGTCGTAGTTAGAACTATGACCTTGATGCCCCATTTTGTCTTGGATAAAACCAACTTTCTTTGCTTAGAGTTGTGCAGAAATCCAATAAAGTTTTCATCTTTGAAAAGAGAATCTGTCATCTTTAAAAAGGGAATCTATCATCTTTGAAGAGTGTAGATGTAGATATGCCTGACTCAGCAGGGATTAATTAGGGGAGTAGAGTCTGTTCTGATTTGACTCTTGAAACACATCATAAGGAGAATTTATCTCAATTCATTTCATGTCTCCACATTTAATTGGTTCTCAAACAAAGCAACTTGGACCATATCATGTTGAGATGATTAACAACAACCTGTCGTTTAACTAGTTTCTTGTGGTTAAAATTTTAGCTCTCCATCTGCAGAAAGAAATCTTCATCATATCTCATCTTATAATCTTGACGTTGAAAAAGACAAACTTCATCTTGGATCAAAAATGGAAACCATATGATCACAACATTGGTTCAACATCAGAATAACTGGTTCGTAAAACATTTGACAACATATTCTTCATCTCATGTGGTTTCAGCTCAGATGTTCGTAAAGCATTTGACAACACATTCATCCTTTTTTTTATGGCTTCTGCCAAGAGTTCTTAATCATTGAAGCTATTTGCATGGTGTTCAAAATTTTTGTATGATGTCACAAGACCATTTGAGAACAAAACTCAGTGGGGATTCAAGTGTGATGTTAGTATGACCAAAAAGTTGGTCAAATTCACAAAATGTGCTAGTGTCGAATTGAATAGGAGATACCAACTAATCACATTTTCATCTCGGGCAAAGGCAAAATGTAATACTGATCATGTTTTCTTCTGTAATGAGCATTGTAGAAAGTAGAAACACTTCAACTATAGGAGCCATGTACAGAAAGAGGTTCATGGAATTCTTGCCGCTGGGGATGAAACACCCATGATAAAACCAAAATAGATAAAAACTCAGTTCACCCTGGCTGGCAATGATAACACCAGTAACAATGGGAATAAGAATAACATAAACTGAGCCTCTTTATTCAATGTCATCAAGTAAACAACAACTGATGTGAAAAACAGCTTCGTAACCTCAATAATATGGTTGAAATTAACTGCCAGGAATCTCAAAGAAATATTTCTAATCATCACCGACACACGCAATACAAAATTCAAAGTTGAGATTTTGAGGAACTGAATCCTAGATCGAATGGTCTGCTTGGGGACTATCTTTATTCATGCAACCATGATGTAGCTTAACAAAGAACACGCTGTCATGTGATACATGGTTAAGAAGATTGGGTACTTGAAACCATACTTGCTGAGTAGATATTTGTTCAACAACATGATCATAATGTAACTGCCTGATGAACGAAGCAATTATGTATAGTCAGCTCGACTGTCACTATTTCACCATTTTCATTCTTCATATCTTTCTATCTCATTGGAATTTTTTGCTCGAATCAATGATCTTTAACACATAATGATGTGGGCCTTCAGCATGCCCCAACATTTGCTGATATGAATATTCAAAATGTTATTCCAATTTCTGATTAAAATGGACTTTCAACCCAACATTTGTTGACGTGAATATTCAAAACGCGTCAATATTCCTGATTATGATTGAAATGGGTTTTCAGCATACCCCAACATTTGCTTCTTATTGATATGAGCGTTCAAAATGCCCCACATGGATCTGTCTGAAATGGGCTTTCGATATGCCCCATCATTTGCTAATACAAACGTTCAAAATATATCAATATTCCTGATTCTGATTGAAAGGGTTTTCAGCATACCCCAACATTTGCTTCTTGTTGATATGAGCCTTCAAAATGCCCCACATGGATCTGTCTGAAATGGGTTTTGATATACCCCATCATTTGCTAATACAAACGTTCAAAATATATCAATATTCCTGATTCTGATTGAAAGGGGCTTTCAGCATGCCCCATATGGATCTTTCAGAAGTAACCTTCAAAATGCCCTAACATTATAATTCTGGTTTACTTTCAATGTCTGTTTGACTTGAATCTCATGATCCCTACGAGGTTCAATTTTGACAATGCACTATTATGGGTACTTGTGACTTTATTCGTGCCCCAAATTTGTTTATCTTGAATACTCTCATTCTGGTGTCACTAAACAGTAGTATTGTCAAGTAACTGGAGAAATTCTCTTCATGTTGTCATAAACTTAAGAAGTACTCAATCATTATGACAGAAACGTCTGAGATATGTGTCTTCTGAATGAGGTGACCATTTTCTGTATCTGGAGGGATTTAGTCAGACAGAGTAATATAAATAGCTTGGTGATCCGTTCCAGGCTGACACAGTGGCTTATCATCTTTCAGTGAAAGCCATATCTGAAATATACTTTTCTGTGGGAGAGAAACCAATTTATGTGAACAGTAATTTGGTGCAATAGCAAGACTACATATACAGTGTTACAGGCTCTTGAAAAATCCACACTTATGCAACATGTTGATTCTGATAACAACTCATCTGATTATGAAGTGATCTTTCAGGATGATTTCACAGATATTGATAGTTCTTTTTGATACCGAGGAAATCCTGAATTCTGATTCTGATGAGGAGAATAAACTGTTATACTTGACAAAAAATGGGATTCTCAGAGGCTGAGGCTTCAATAGCCATGGAGAGATGTGGTCCGGATTCATCAATTGCAAAGTTGACAGATTTTATATGTGCTGCTCAAATGGCTAAGGCTACTGACGCATTTCTTATGGTAGAAGATAGGAAGTCATTATGCAATGATCCCAATTACAAGCAAAGGCGAAACTTGGGCTATGATTTTTGAAAAGGAAGAAGCAGAGGAAGCTTGAAAATAAGCTTCTTAATGAAGACGATCATGCAGTTCATCTTTCAATTCCAATGATTAGTTTTGGGGTTCCTACCAAACCAGATCAGATAACTTAAAGAACACTTCCAGAAGATGTTATTGGGTCTTCTTATTTCTACTATGACAAAATTCATCTTTTAAATCCAATGATTAGTTTTGGGGTTCATACTAAACCAGATCAGATAACTCAAAGAACACTTCCAGAAGATGCTATTGGGTCTTCTTATTTCTACTATGAGCAAATTCATCTTTCAAATCTAATGATTGGTTTTGGGGTTCATACCAAACCATATCAGATAACTCAAAGAACACTTCCAGAAGATGCTATTGGGGCTCCTTATTTCTACTACGAGAACATGGCACTTACTCCAGTTAATGTTTGGACTGGAATATCACAGTACTTATTCGATGTAGAGCCAGAATTTGTATATTCGAAGTATTTTCATGCTACTACACTGAAAAGGGGCTATATTCATAATCTGCCAATTGAGAACAGATTTTCTCTTATCTTGTTTTCTCCACGCACTATACATGATATTTTTCCATTGATAAAGAAATGATGGCCTTCCTGGGATCCAGGAACAAAGTTAAATTA